TTTTGCCTGTAGAGCTGTGGTTACAGCAGGGACTTTGGTCTGTACCATCCCTACCCGATGGATGTAGGGACATTAGGCTCAGGCTGAATATTAGGAAAAATTTTTTCACTGAAAGGGTTATCAGGCATTGGAATGGGCTGCCCAGGGAGGTGGTTGAGGCACCATCCCTGGAGGTGTTCAAAAGACAGGTTGATGTAGTGCTGGGAGGTATGGTTTAGTGATGGTGATGCTCCTTGTTTGTTGTGTGGGTGTCTATTTTTGTCAGTTAGGTTGATGGTTGGACAAGATGATCTTTAAGGTCCCTTCCAACCTAGAAGATTCTGTGATTACAAGTAGCTGGAATGCTGAAAACTCTGCCAGCAGCCTGGTGCCCATTCCACCCAGAGCCCAACGCGACGTGCCTTTCAGGGGATGAAGGTGGAAAAATGTCTCCTCTATTCCCCCATGAATACATGACAAAGCCTTCCAACGCGTGAGATGAGCTGGCTTGTTATGCTACCACTTAACTCAGAGACTGCAGGAAAAAAAAAATAAAATAAAAAAAAGCAGCTGAAATCAGAAAAAAACCCCCAACATTGTACAAGCATCCATTATTCTCAAAATAATGGGCTCCAGGAACAAAAGTGTCTCAGGTGCTACTTTTGACGTACTTATAACTTAAACCAGACCCGTGAGTAACCCACTACTATTTTTACATCTTTTTACCATGTACCATCCTTCTCTAATGATGGTTTTAAACATATCCCTGTTCAAGGGACTATTGCTTCACTCTTTTTTTGGCGATAGATCACATGTCCCAGTGCTACACACTTACACACTAGAATGGAGCCTCCTTTTCCAACCATCTGCTTGTTGAGCTAATTCAAACTATTATCGGGTTTTACCTACAAGAAAAGACACTCCAAGCTTCAAGGAGACAGCTACAGTTTCACCAGGGGAGGGGAAAAAAAAAGAAAAAAAAGCAGCACAAAGAAGTCAGTCTAACAATGAGAGAAATGTCAAGAAATAGAAATGTCAAATCCCTCGGGGTGGAAAAAAAAAATAATAATAAATTCCAACTCCAGTTCATCTCCAAGCACTATATTTTTGTAATGAAATTACACTCTATAGTCTCCCCTCAGGGAAAACCTGCTCCTACTAATCAGACTGTTGTTTTCTTAAAGTTCAAAACAAATGCAAGAATGTCTATGCAGCATTCATGCCCAAGCTGCCAAGAACTGCATTTAACTCTTTGCAAACAAAGAGGTCTCAATCTTCCCACCAAAACCCCGCAAAATGGCTCAATGTAGAAATAGTTCAAAATATCTCAATGTTATCCTTGGTGGTTACCACTTATGGCATCTTTTCTCTGTTTTTTTAAAATCACTCTTTAAAATCTTCCCAACAGTTTGCTTAGCAAATCAAATGCTCTCCTTCTCCTGCCCTTGTGGTGCAACCATTTTGGATGATGTTCCAGCCACACTTCTGCTACTTCATGCTCCAGAGTCATAGAATGGTTTGGGTTGGAAGGGACCTTAAAGACCATCCAGTTCCAACCCCCCTGCCATGGGCAGGGACACCTCCCACCAGACCAGGTTGCTCCAAGCCCCCTCCAGCCTGGCCTTGAACCCCTCCAGGGATGGGGCAGCCACAGCTTCTCTGGGCAACCTGGGCCAGGCTCTCACCACCCTCACAACAAAGAATTTCTTCCTGAGATCTCATCTAAATCTCCCTTCTTTCAGTTTAGAACCATTATCCCTCCTCCTGTGGCTCCCCTCCCTGAGCAAGAGTCTCTCCCCAGCTTTCCTGGAGCCCCTTTAGCGAAGTGGTTGAGGTACCATCCCTGGAGGTGTTCAAAAGACGGGGAGACCTGGTCTTCAGGAATAAGGTTTAGTAATTTTTATTTTCCATTTCTTATCTGTTTTTTTGTCAGAGTTAGGTTGGTGGTTGGACTAGATGATCTTTAAGGTCCCTTCCAACCTAGACGATTCTATGGAAGGGGCTCTAAGGTCTCCTCAGAGCATTCTCTTCTCCAGGCTGAGCCCCTCCAGCTCCAGCTCCCCAGCCTTTCCAGCACCTCCATGGCCTTCTCTGGCCCCACGTCAACATCACTGCCATGGGTTTGATTTATGCTAAATGCAGACCTGAAAGCACTATCAATCTCCCCAAGTCCTCAACAACGCCAAGAGATGCTGTCATTGCACCCAGGAGCTCCAGCTAGGTGTGGGGGTGCAGCAGAGGTACCCACAAGTCTTTTTTCAAAAACCATCAGAGAGCAAACATTGTCCTTCCATCTGCAAGGAGAACACCAGCCTCTCTGCAACCTGCAAACAAAGAGCCAATTCCTTTTCGACCTCCACTCTTCACCGCATTTAAATAAAACTGTTTATGGGTGTTTGGAGACCTAAAAACCAAAGTCTCAGCCTGCCATTAATATTTTAATTGAAGACATGAATATTCATGATCATTTTGCTTCTTTAGAGGACAAGATACGATAATTAAATAATTCTAATATGGAAATGTGTTCCTGTCATGACACCTTGCCTTCATCTACATTACAAAACCAAGGCATTTTTAGCTCTTTCATTATTTATGTAATTCTGGTGCTTTCAGGTTGGTTTTGCCTTTTTTTTTTTGCTCTAGACTCACTGGAGCTCTTGAACGCAGACAACACTTTCCCAGATACAGGATCAGAAATTATGGGCTGTTTCAAAGTCACTCTTGAGTTTGGGAGGATTTTTATTCGGGGGCTGTTTTGGTATCACACATCTTCTGTCTCCAAGCTAATTTCAACAGCGGCACGAACACCTGATATTTGCCACAAGCCCAGGAGAACGCAGGCGAGCACAAAGTTATTAAAGATTTCATCATTTCTCAGACTTCAAGAACGCTTCAGTAACAACAAAAAAAAAATGTATTGGTTTCTACGAGAGACAACAGCGGTAGCCGTTTTCGAAAATAAATACATTTCTTTCATTTGCAGCTATAACCAACAGAAAAGTCTGGATGATTCCAGCAAGCTTTGAAATCCTCCCCCCCCACCATTTAAATACAAACTGAACTAAAAACCTGAAGCAAACATGGACAAAAAAAAAACAGGAAAGGATTTCCAGGGTCATTAAGCTCATCCTTCAGCTCCTCCAAATACAACCTCCTGCGTCTCCCCCTTCCCTCCTGTCTCAAGCTCAGGACCAAGTTTCTTGCCTTCACTGTTCAGACCTCGCTTCTCCATTTGTTAGAAACCTTTTTCCAATTGCCAGATTAGATTTCTTTTACGGCCAGTTCATTCCTATCTGTAGCAACACCATTTTTCAGCCAGCAGCTCTTCATCACCCTTGCAAGGTGCCCGTTATCTGTCCCAGGCAATTGTTTCACCGGTCAGACTATTTCACTCCAGTGTGAAATGGGCTTTTCCCCCCCCAAAATAAGCAGCCAGAGACTGCACCCAATATTCCTGATGACTTCTAATCAGAGACTTGTACAGTGACATTAATACTTTCCAGTCTCTGCTGGAAATACCCCGTGTCTGGGTCGTATTTGCCTTTTTCCCCATCAGTATCGCTCTGGGAGCTCAGTCATTCCCTCATCAACTGGTACCACTTTTTATCCTCCATCATTTCCCATTGATCAGCTCCTGGTTTAGAGCTGAAATTTCTGTTATCAATCCCCAGGTGCATGACCCTGTGTTTAGTGCTACTGGATTCCACCCCCTTTCTTTTACTCCCGTTCCTAAGGTCATCCAGCTTCTGTAGGTCATTTCATCATCTCTAAGTTGGCCACCGCTATAAGGAATGAGAGTCATTAAAACATTTCTTAAAACTAAGATAATGAGATAGCAGAGTCCTGGAGGCCAGTGAAAGACATCAGGAAACAGACTGCCAATTAAAGACTAACATCATTTGAGAACAACATTTGACAAAACTTCTACTAATTTTGCACGACGTGATCTCTCACAGAATTGCAGACTCCAAATACAACGGCAAGGGAAGGACAATTCAGTTGCTCAGATGGGAGTGGACAACTGCTGACAGAAAGAAACCATTCCCAAAAATACACCATCACCACGAAAAGCTCAAGCAACAGTCGGAAAGAACTTCTGGATTTAAAATTGAATAAGTTGGGTAACAACAAATCTTGCAGTAAAACCCAGTACTGCTGTGAAAAGAGCATCTCCTCCATCCCAGCTGATAGCTCCACGTTGCACTCAAGAGAAAAGAAGATGCTTAAAAGCCTTACACTGCCCTTGGCTCACCTGAACGTGACCTTCCCACATGGAATATTTACTCCATGAAACTACTTTGCCACCAAGATGCAAGTGGCAGCCACGGTGGTTGCTACACCTCTGAAGCACTTGACTTTTAGCTTTGGTCTGGTGTTACTGGACTTTCCCAACATGGGTTGAGCTCGGCAGTCTTTGACCATGTTGATGTTCTGCTGGGTAAACCAGATGGCTACCTTCTTTCCTTCTCCTGGGCTCTATTTAGTCCATTTCAATAGAAAGGGGGGAAAAAGTAACTTTGAAAAGTAATTAATCTCTAATTATCTTTGAAAATGAAGAGCAGCACGCTGGAACACAGCGGTCTTTGCTGGAATCACAGAATCTTCTAGATTGGAAGGGACCTTAAAGATCATAGTCTTTGCTGGAAGTCTGACTTTATTGCAGAGCTGTCAATCCCAGGCCTGACTATCCAAACCAGTAGAACAAATAATCTGGAGAAGAAAAGAACATCACAAGCACTTGAGGCAGTCAAACCACAGAGGGTTCCCCAGCGGTGTTCAGAGAGCTTTCAAGGCTCCTCCAATACAGAGATGCTGAACACGGATACCATGGAAAAAGGCCAACAGCTGCTGCAAATTTCTGCCATCATGCCAAGGTTGGCACGTTCAGATGGTTCCTGGTGAGCTTCATCGTGTCTGGTTTGGCTTTTCTAATGGGTACCACAATAACACATCCCTCCCAGCACGTATCACACACACATCGCATTCAACACCTGCACAATATGAGTATATTTATACATCACCTCTTTCCCTGAAGGTATCATCTCTGCTAATCCCAGCACATCTACGAGTCTCGGAAGAAGAGATGAAAATAGTCTTTCCAGTTCTCCAGATCTGCCCATGAGCTAAACAAGGTTGTCCCTGCCCGTCCGTGCTTTGCCACGCCGATGTTCTGGTCTACCGAGGAGCACCTCAACGGCACACTTTATCCCCTAACAGGGGAGAGCTCTCAGACTTTTCACTGTTCTGATCAAAAAAACCTGCGAAACACCAGGAAAATGCAAAAAGATCCTCCATCTCCCAACTGGGGAAACATTTCAGTGTGTTTCATTCCAGGGCTGGCATCAGCAAGATTTCCTTCAGGTGATGCAATTGGTGGTGATTTAAGGATCCGGTTCTGGACTGAGGCACTTCTTCAGGAGCCACTTTGAAATCTAAATCCTTAATTTCAGAAATATATCTTCAAAGGAAAATTAACAAAGCAATGGAGAGAAGCACCAAAGTTTATTTCCACCTGCTCCAATGGCTGCCCACCAAACGAAGAAAATCAACGCAGGGACTGAAAATTCCAAGCCGAGGATGAGGAGGAGCAACACTGAGAATTTCATCGATGAAATTAAGTGAGAAACAGAGAAAAGGAGCCACAGGTCTCTTCAAACCAGCAAAATCCCAAAACGTGCACAGAGAGGAGAAGCTGCTGATGTGCTCTGGGTCAGAGACGTCTCCGGCTTTAACTCCACCTGCATCTCCTACTGACAGATGGTGCAGACGGTGGCAAAATTCCCCAAATTCTGGCCTGTTTCCCTCCTGTATCTCAGGCAATCAAGCCGTCCAGCCATATTGAATTATTCCTCCAAATATATATATACACACACACACACCAGTTCCATTTTTTCCCCTAATTAAATCTAGCACACCACGCAACCGTAACAAGGTGTTGATTAATTTACTGATTTGATTTAAATGTATCCTTGCTGCGTCAATCTCCTCCCTCTAGATCTTCAGAGCAACCTTCACTCCCTGAAATAAGGCCGGGGATGTAATCATTTCCTTCTCCTTTTCGCATATGCAGATAGGACAATTATCCAGACATCCATCAGAATGGCTTGGAACAGCAAGAAACTCATTTGAAAGCCAGTTTGCCGCACACGTGGGCTGAATACACAAATCTGAGCCCATGTGATAAACTTGCTGAAGATCATCACAGCAAAAGGCAGGAAAAAAAAGAAGAGCAAGAAAATATCTGAGCAGCAAAAAAAGATCACAGAATCACATGGGGTTGGAAGGGACCTCTGGAGATCATCTAGTCCAACCCCCTGCCAAAGCAGGTCCACTCAGAGCAGGTTGCACAGGAACGTGTCCAGGTGGGTTTGGAATGTCTCCAGAGAAGGAGACCCCACCACCTCCCTGGGCAGCCTCTGCCAGGGCTCTGCCACCCTCACAGGAAAGAAGTTCCTCCTAATGGGTAGGGGGAACTTCTAACATTACTCCTGTCCTGTCCCTGGGCACCACTGAAAAAAGACTGGCCCCATCCTCCTGACACCTACCCTTTAAGCAATTATAGGCGTTGACCAGATCCCTCCTCAGTCTTCTCTTCTCCAGACTAAAAAGACCCAAGTCCCTCAGCCTCTCCTCAGCAGAGAGATGCTCTGGGCCCCTCATCAGCTTTGCAGACCTTCACTGGACTCTTTCCAGTACTTCCTTGTCCTTCTTGAACTGGGGAGCCCAGAACTGGACCCAGTGCTCCAGATGAGGCCTCCCCAGGGCAGAGCAGAGGGGCAGGATGACCTCCCTCCACCTACTGGTCACACTCTTCCTGATGCAACCCATAATGCCACTGGCCTTCTTGGCCACAAGGGCCCATTGCTGGCTCATGGGCATCCTGTTGTCCACCAGGACTCCCAGGTCTTTCTCCTCAGAGCTGCTCTCCAGCAGCTGTCCTGGTGCAGGGGGTTATCCCTCCCCAGGTGCAGCACCCTACACTTGCCTTTATTGAAGTTCATCAGGTTCCAGGATGTGTCCATCCTGGTCCATACTCATTCATGGACGCTCCCCTTTTTGTAGCAGAACCTGGACGTGTTTTGAAAGATCATCAGAAGCTTTTTACAAATATACATCACGTAGGAACGGTACAAGAATCCAGTTGTGCACGGACAGAAACGTGCCACAAAACCACATCGCTTATCTCATCAGAAGGAGATGGGGAGGAAGGAATTTGTAGAAAGCAAAACACACTATTTTCCTTTCAGAAGTTGTGGGATGGAAAAGCTGCCTTGAAACGACAACGATGTCAAATGCTTCAAAGCAGGACAAAATTAGAAATAAGCGTGTAAGGGCGAATACGTCTTCCTTCCAAGTTGGTTTTGCAAGTCTTGTAAAAACTGAGTAGAAAATCTATCAAGCTCACGCCCTGCGGGTCGGCCAACCCATCCTCCACCAAGGTTTGCAAGACAATTTGTGGTCCATGAAATTCAGACGGGTCACAGACGCTGACTTACGTCGTTTGCAGCTACTAAATGGCAATAAAAGGATGCCATAAATAAATAAATTGGCGACTTTCCCACTGCCTCTTTTTTGGTGGGTTTTTTTGCAACTCCGGAGCTGTCACGGGACTGTTAAATGATTGAAGACCATCACTTTGGAAAAAAAAATAAAATAAAATAATTGAGAAGTCCTTCAGACAATAAAAATAAAAATGAAATTTATGACTGCCCCAAATGCTACTTCTTCCAAGACAATATCTGCCAGCCCTCACAAAGACTACAGACCCTAATATTTCCGCTCTGGGCCATATGTGCCATTCTCAGGCAAAAATAAATTTGTTAACAAGTCTGCAAGAGCAGTTGGCACTTACTTCTGCCAGTCTGTACTAACATCTTGAGACTTTCTTTAATAAGAAAAATAAAAAAAATTAAAATGAAAAAAAAAAAAAGATAACGTTTCAGGAGAGTACAAACCCAGCAAAACATGCCTAAGGCTTTGGAGAAAAAAAAAAATAGTAATTCAAGGAAACATTTTAAATTCTTCTGCTAATAGACAACAGAAATGTTGGCAAAGTTTGTCGTTCATAAGCTTCGGGATCATCCAGGGGTCCCGAACATTTTAAACATTCAGTGTGACCATCTGTCGCTGACACAGTCACCGAACAGAACGAGCAATTACCGAAGCCCTTCTCAGACATAATCTGTCAACCACATCCAGTTGGGCTGCCAAGAGGAATCAAGCTGAGGATGATGAGAGGCAGATTGCCCTCATGGGGAAACGGGAGGGCTCCACCTGAGAAGGATGAGCCATGGCTAGGAAGCCACCAGCATCCAAAACTCCTGTAATGGTCCCCTGGTGCTCAGCAGGTTGTGCACCATGGGTTTTCACACCCACTGGTGTCTCCTGGTCCACCCCTTGGTTCTGCAGAGCGAGAGAGGACAAGCAAACCATGCAGAAACCAAAGGCAAAGCTAAAGGCCATTTTGGACTTGGTTGGAGTTTACAAAGGTCACCCAGGACTAGCAAAAGCAGCTCGATACTCAGAAATTTAACGCTGAACTTGTCTTAAGGAGTGCAAGAACACCATCCATGAGAATCACGTCCAGACAGACTCCTCCTCTTCCTCACCTTCAGCAAAGCTACAGTGATACGCTCAGGGACCTGTTATAACTGCAGAGAACTGTCAAATCTTCTAATAAGAAGAATGAGCACTGCTGACATTCCTAATTGCTTTTAATTTTTGTCTCATCAGCCCGAGCTGCAGCATAGCAAGAGAAAAAAAAAAAATGCAGCAGGACACAGAATAATCCTTTTAAATAACTGCTGAGCCCCTCCAGAACAAAAATCCCAAACACTTCCCAATGGAAACTCATGAAGCTATATGTATTCACGAAGCTTAGGGCTGGAAGGGATCATCAGATCATTTAGAGTGGCCTCTCAAAGGTAAGAATCCATCCAGTTTTACTCAAAAGATGTCTAGGTAGCATCTCGAGATGCTGCAGCCAGCCAGCGAGCCTGTCCCTTCCCTTCCTACTCTGTTCGTGTTTAAAAACTGCATCTAGTTTAAATACATCTCACTTGAACTTCAAGCTACTGTTTTTTCTTCTTTGTGCACCAAAGAAAGAAACAATCCTTCAGTACTCAGCATTTTCCACCTTTGAAGGTACTTCATCTTGTTTCCTTTATTTCTTTTTCCCCTGGAGACTTTATTTTCTCTATTTTTTAACCACAATGAGCTTTCCTCTCTCCAGTTTTTCACCATAATTTAAAGACTGCAGTCTAGGCACAGGATCAGTATCACAGCTTAAGTCTTCTTCCCAAAAGCAGCAACTCTGAAGGAGAGGTTTACTCTCAGTCCTTCCACGTGTAAAATTTTGTTACTGGTTGAACAAAACCCGTGTCAGAAGAGACACCAGTTCCCAAAGGTGCCAGATCGTTCTGTGTAATGGTGGAGCCATTTCCCAATTTGTAAATCTTAATACCCACAGCAAATTTTTATCAGTAGCCACTTTATCTTTTACAAAGACAGACAAGTGAATAGAAAATTTATTAAATACTCTTATTAACCACTGAGTAGTTCTATAGAAGCTTTGATTCCTCAGGAAGCCAGGCTAAAACTCGTAATCAGAGAACCTGGTAGGTTACACCAGCACAAACCATCCACCCACCCAGTAAAGCTTTCCCTGGTGATTCCTTAAATTCATTCCTAGGTTTTGTTTAATAATTTATCATGGATTTTGATGAACATCATGCTCCTCCTCCTTCTCCAGGTTGCATAAAACTTCGCTAGGAAGAGAACAACTTCAAGTTGGTGCTGCCCTTATATATGACTTCTCAGATGAAAGGGTAAGAGGCAAAGTCACAGGTTGAGGCAAGGGAAGTTCTGGATGAATTTTGGGATGGAGAGATCTCAGAGTGGTGAAGCACTGGAATCTCCATCCTCAGAGAGCTTAAAAAACACAACTGGACAAAGAGCAACCTCATCTAACCTGAACATCGACCTTATGTTGATAAGGGTGCAGGACCAAAGACCTTTAGAAGCTCCCTCAACCTAAATAACTCTGAGAGAATAGCTGAGCAC